TTTCAACTAATTTGATATGAAAACATATTCAAAATAATTTTACTTCTAAAAGTGTTCTTATCAAAAAATAAAAACAACTTAAAAATAATTATTTTTTTTGCTCTCCTAACCAGTACTATCAACTCTTGTTCGATATTTTTTTTTTTTTTATTTTAACAAATCCATATTTTTTTTTTCTTTTTTTTTTTTTTTTTTGCTAATTTCTCGATTGAATGATCACTCAACCGACATTGTTTGTCAAGGGCTAGGTGGTAAAGGGCTAAGTATTAGTTAAGCATTTTTTTGCCCTTAATCCTATATTTTTTTCAACTAACTTTGTCAATCATTACAGTTTTGCGTGATGTTCGTCAAAGTGGATCCAAAGAAATGTTAGACAGGAAAGTCAAACTGAAGAGGGTTTCCTTTTCCTTGTTTCGGAATGAGCTTTTAATGATTTTGACGGTTGCCTAAAAAGGGATGTTACTAAAACGGGGAAGGGGAAAAAATGAAAAATGGGAGCAAAACAGAGAATTGGAGATGAAATCACTGATAGGGCTTTCTAGGGTTCAAGTTAGGTTTTGTTCCCATTTTTCATTTGCCCGTTCCCCGTGCTTGTACCCGATTAAGTAATCGGCTCCTGACATCACTCAGGAAAACAATTCGTTAGTTTATGTTACGTACTTTGAGAAACGGATCATTTTCATGTAGGAAAATTCATACTTTCTCAGTTCTTTCTCCGGTTAACAATAGACGACCATTGATTATAGTTCAGTGGCTGCGTGCTCCAAAACACGTCCTTGCTGTGCGTTTTTCAGGTTTTCAGTGGTGTGACCCGCGACTGAAATGTTTTGTCTAGGCAATACAATGTTTGTCATTAGTTGATTAATTTACCTTTTGTCAAGTCGTTTTAAATGATTTGTGGTCGATTTATGTTTCTGTGAAATGGAAGATAGGTTTATTTTCGCGTTGGTTCCCAGCTATATATTTTGCTGTTGTAGCTGCTTTTTCAATGATGGTCATGACAGCTTGACTGATTTCTGATATTTTATACAACGTTTCAATTTAGCTGCGCATGATTGTTCTTCTTTGCCCTGGGGACCAGAGATTTTTTCCCTCTCTCTCTCTTTGGGGCAACGGAATCGAGCCTAGCGAGGTTCAGCGCTTTGCTCTGAACGCTTCTCGCTGCTAGTTGGTGAGCGAGAAAATCTCTAGCATGCCAGTGTGAAATTGCATCCAGTGTACCATCGAAAGGCTCCGGCATAAACCTCTCAAATCTGTCTTGAGATTCGATGCTATAATGTGTTTCTCTCGATTACTTCTGAGTTCTACGTCACTATTTTAAATTGCTGCCTTGCTGATTTGTCATCATTTACTCATCAAACAAAAGGAAAAAGATGTTTTAGTTTATGAGCTAGTGGCCTTATGCACTTAAAATTGTTTTAGTATTTGGTGATGAAAAATTAAGGACTTCAAGATACACCGCTTCATCCTACGGGTACGGGTAGGCGAATAACATGCAGTTATACAAAAGGCGACCATGATTTCCCAGATGTTATATAATGACATCAGCGTTCTATCCGGTAGCCTACCCGTTTCTCCGGGGTAAGAGGCCATCTACCCGTACCCGTACACGGAAACGGTGTATCTTGAGGTCTCTAATAGNTTTTAGTTTATGAGCTAGTGGCCTTATGCACTTAAAATTGTTTTAGTATTTGGTGATGAAAAATTAAGGACTTCAAGATACACCATTTCATCCTACGGGTACGGGTAGGCGAATAACATGCAGTTATACAAAAGGCGACCATGATTTCCCAGATGTTATATAATGACATCAGCGTTCTATCCGGTAGCCTACCCGTTTCTCCGGGGTAAGAGGCCATCTACCCGTACCCGTACACGGAAACGGTGTATCTTGAGGTCTCTAATAGCTATGTGTTTGTGGTGAATTGTAATTGATGGCCTTGTGGCCTGAGTGTCTCTTGTCATGCTTTTATGACAACATCTTCCTGTGTGGACGTGCATTGCCAATTACTTTAGTAGCATTCCAGAATAATCTGCCCACCTCGGAACTAACGCAAATGTTACTTGAAAAATATAATGAAATGGAGATTCACGAGGTTTTTTGTTTTTCGTTCTTTCTTTGATAAACTGCAGGCGGTGACCTCTGATCATGGAATAATACGTTATCTTTAGTTGCTGCGTGCTCTAAAACACGTTCGTCTTTTTTCTTTTCTTTTCTTTTTTCTTTCTTTTTCTTTTCTTCGTTGTTTGTCTTTTTTATCTCTCTTTCCTTCGTTTGTTCCTTTTTTCTTAAATAAACAGAAAAAGTATCAGAGTGTAGTAATAATGCATATGACAATAACTTGACCAAGTATTGTACCTACATCTTATACAGCTCTTATGGTACCGTTCGGGCGGGAGGCCGTTCACTGATGGAATGCATTTCCAGATTGGCCTATTTATTAACAGGAGTATAGACTGTTGTTATGGAGACTAGCGTTTATCTCTGAAATATTAAAAACTCAGGCGTACGAACACGTCATTTAGGAACAGACAAAAAGTGACATAGCAGGGAACTATATTTGGTCGATATAACCTTGTGCTTAAAATGCGTGCATACAAAATCTGGGCGAACGTGAATTTCGCCGGCGGCGCCTCATTTATGGAATGAGCTGCCTTTACAACTACGAAATATGAAGTCTCTGGAAAGTTTTAAGAACTTAATCAAGATATTCCTTTTTAGACAATTTTTTGAGAAGTGAATTTTAATTTTGCAATATCTCATTAGGTGATTTTAATACTAGTTATGAGTAATTATATTATTAGGCGTCTGGTGTTTTTTTTTATCAGCTTTTAGTATTTCTTAGATATTGGAACAATTAATGTAAAGTACTACTGATCTGTATATGTAAATAGCGCTACAGAAATAATAAATTATTATTATTGTTATAATTATTAAATGAAAGTTCCGTTCATTTTCTTTTTATTTTCTTTTTATTTATTTCTTTTTATTTTATTTTACTTTATTTTCTGGTTTCAGTTGCAAATGTGGACTAGCTGGTCTCGCAGAAGGTGTATTCGAAAGCATTGCTGCTTATAGAGAGGTATAGAAATGTTTCTAATTTGCCTTACCATATCGAAGGGCAAAATTTTCGCAAAATAAATAGTCCTTGTTTACTAAACAGAACTTAGCGGTTAACGTTGTTAAACGGTCAAAAGTAACGCCAGAGCAGTTTAGTGCAGTAAAAGTAGACAAAAACGTTAAGATTTTTTAAAATGACTTTGAATCATTTTTTTTTTCAC